CGTTAGCACCTCGACTCTGCAGACACCACCAACAAGACTAGCTGCCATCAGTGCAGAGCTTGCTGCAGCAGTTGGGTGGCAGCACATCTTCATACACTGCTAGGACACCAAACCGTCCCTGATACTCAGCAGGAAATCAGAAGATAGACTACAGCAGATGGGTGATTTATTTTTTTTAATCATCCCTGCGATTGTTTTAGACATCTGCCATTATCGATAGATCCTGATTGGATCGTTGCTTGTCTTCCAAATCGCTTGTCCCGATGCAGCATCAATACCAACAGATGTCCATAAAAATACACGCCTTCCAACAATGTGGGAAAAAGTGGGTGACGGTCAGGAGAGGAGCATTGGGAGAAACGGACACCAACATAGTTTGATTAGTTCAAATAGGTAAGAGAGCGAGAGGCGCTAACCATCATCAGGCACGATTTGATCCAGAAGTTTTGGCTGAAAGATCAGACCTGGGAGGGCAGAAGACCTCGACTATTCAGCCAAGCCAACAATTTGCTTTTATGAACCCCCCTTTCAGAGACTTAGACGGGTATGGTGTATTGCAGGCTAACAGAAGAAGCCAAACGACCCCCATTCCAAAGGGGTGGACCATTTCAATTAGCATGTTTTCAAAACAAAAACAAGGCATTGTTGGGCTACTCTATAAAACCTTTAAACTTAACGCTATTCCTGACATTTTGAATTGAAAAAGCTTCCTGGATGGGGAGCCAAACGTCTTCAAACTTTGAAGAAAAGTCCAGTGGATTGTTTTTTTTGGAATCAGACCTGCACAGCAAAAACGATTTAGAAATAAACATTTCTTGAATCAAGTATATTTACACTGAATTTGAGTAGGTAAATAAGATGATCTGGCAATGGAGTACTTTTATTCTTACAATAAGATAATTAGATGATATGGTATGATAATATAGGAAAATGCAATTATTTTTTCTTATTTTAAATGTAAATAGTCTTGTTCCATTGGCAAAGTGTTTCTCTTACCTCCTCAATTCAAGACAAAATGCATTTATTTTTAGAAAAAATGACTTATTTAGATTACATTTTTTTCTAGTGTGGGAGTTTTCACAGCAGCATTTTTAAACTTGGAGGCAAAGATGGGAATCAAAAAGTGTGCCGGTGCCGTAACATTTGGCCATGATTCATTTTTCTGTAGATATGGATGTGGGCCAAGAACTGAGCCCAGAGGAACTCCTACTAACTGTATTTATCCCATTATAAACACGAACCTCTAAAACGCTAACTGGGGGTGAAATAAAAGTAGAAAAATGTGAAAGTGCAGAAACATTTGGCCATCCTTCTTTGACGTTTTATTGGGTTATTTCTCCAGTCTACTTCTAACCAGTGAATGTGGCTAAAAAATGTCCCTTTGTCCTCCAGCGGGGTCGCTCAGCGCTCATAACTACTTCCACAGCAAACCGTCAGAGCTCTGCTGCCTTGTGGTCGACTCTGGATTCTCCTTCACCCACATCGTCCCTTACTGTCGCAGTAAGAAGCTGAAGGAGGGCATCCGCAGGTGAGGGAGCCTCCACCTTCACAGGAAGTGACACAGCAGGGACGCTAACAGCGGCCTGATGCTTTGGTTTTGCCTTTCAGGGTCAATGTTGGAGGGAAACTGCTCACCAATCACCTGAAGGAGATCATATCGTACCGGTACAGAGCTCCCCGTGTCCTGGTGGGATTCTCACTGCAGCGTCTGTTTCTTTATGTCCATATTATTTTTATTTCACAGCCAACTGCATGTGATGGACGAGACGTATGTGATCAACCAGGTGAAAGAAGACGTTTGCTACGTCTCTCAGCAGTTCTACAAGGACATGGAGATCGCACAGTGAGACTCTGATGTTCCTCCTTATTTAGAACTCTGGTAGCGGAGCGGGTCTCCATCTGAATGACGGTTCCTCTGGTTTCAGGATGAAAGGGGAGGAGAACTCGGTGATGAGGGATTACGTTCTTCCTGATTTCAGCGCCATCAAGAAAGGTTTCTGTAAGGTGAGACCGATGGTCTTTGTGAGAAAATGTATATTCCTGCACAGCTTCAAGAACGGCGCACAGCAGCATTTTAGTCAGGTTGAACTTTGACTTGTGTTTCATCCATCCTGCTGAGGATTGGCTGCTGCTGTCCAGCTGGTGATCGGGTTGGACCGAGCCTCGTCTGTATGACAGATGCAGAGATGGCAAAAGTACTCACTTTCC